CTGCCAACAATTTCAAAATGTAGTAGATCCCATCACACTCCTGACTGGATAAAGCCCAAACAACAACTAGGGGGTGCCAAAAGTGAAGCGAATGCCTCCGCACATCAAATGCAAAATACCATAGAGTCACTCGTGACTCTATGGTATTTTACCTGTCAACAAACACTCCTTCCCCCCCCTATGCCCGTCAGTGAAGGACTCGTACACAGCAGCGCTGCACTGCGCTTGGTATTTCAAATTCCGCTCACACGGTGGCGAGCAATCATTGGTCATCTAACCACGCTGACCTATGAGAAGCACTTCTTAGCAAGAAGCGATTTGCTAAAACCCTTTGAGGTCTATGGGGACTGTGATGCAATCTGAGTATTTCAATGTAAAATCCCCACTTGGGGTTGAAGAAAAAAAACACCAGACATTCAGGAAGCGGCAGTGATGCCACCTGAACGCCTACAAACCGCCTCTGAAAAAAAGTGATCCACTGCGGAACGCTAAAGTCCGGCGGTTTTGTGAACGAGGCCTTACGCCAACACTAAGGCTCGGTTCGCACCTAGGCGTTGCAGGAACGCGCGTCAAGCATGCAAAAATAATATGAGATCACCTGCACTCCATACTGCGTACAGACCTCGTTGAAAGGTTGGTGCTTGAAGTGACAACACGGACGGCGCAATGTCAGATGCAGTCCATAATAGAAGTCACCGGCACTCGATCATGTGTGCAAGAAGCAAAGCGGTATACTGAGACGCCGCAGCTGAAGCGGATCCCGACAAATATCCTGGGATCCGCCCAGCTGCGTGAGTGACAGCTGGCTCTGCCTATCTAGAGGCAGAGCCAGCTGTACCCGCCCCGTCCGTTCCGCCAGTCAGTGCTGGCGGATCGGAGCGAGGAGGGGGGAATCCAGCCCCTCCCCTGTCACAGCAGAGAGCCGTTACAGGATCGAGAAGTGAGCGAACGACGGTATGTGTTCGCTCACCTCCCGATCTACTGAGCCGACCACTTCAGGGCCACGCAGGGTCCCTCCTTCTGGGCGACATAGTGGCCCCCGAAACGTTGGCTGTATGACGCATGTGACAATTTAATACAAAGAGTGCTTTACTTCTTGCACGTATCATAGAGTGCTGGTGACTTCTATTATAAACACGCATAAATAGCGCATTTGCATAATGCAATGACTAGTTAAGGGCACCCCAAATGCGGCACTACTTTTCCACGTTTGTTTGCGCATATAGGAACCCATTGAAATCAATGGGGATGTGCAGCAAACACGGAAGACAAACGTGCATGGACGCGCGCTCGGACACAAGACACGCGTTTGCGTTACGCCTAGCCTAAGGTCTCATTCACACACAACGCAAGCAAAATTGTATATTGCGTATATACAAGCGTATGCGCGTATATGCGTGCACTATTTGCATTCCCAGAATGCATCATTCCTAATGGAAATTTTAATGAACTGTACGCACATACACGCGTAAAATACGCTGCCCGGACGCATCTCGGTTCCATTCTGTTTTTGCGCATATTTACGCTACGCAAATAAACGGCTCCATACGCGGCTACGTGTATGGAGCCATTTATTTGCATATGTTGCATATGGTACAATATGCGCATATATACGCGCGGCAGTGTGAATGAGGCCTTAGACAGACACGAACCTTGATCAAGTCCTAAATTAAATAGGTTATCATATCTTTTTTTTAAACTTCCTCCAGGGAGGAGAAAAAAGATACAATGTATCCATATAGAAACAGTACAAGGGAGGCAATTACAGCGATCACATGATCGGGAGCAAGTCCTCCCAGCGATCACATGATCGGGAGCAAGTCCTCCCAGCGATCACATGATCGGGAGCAAATCCTCCCAGCGATCACATGATCGGGAGCAAATCCTCCCAGCGATCACATGATCGGGAGCAAATCCTCCCAGATCCGGAGCATTAGTTGAAAAGCGGTCGGTGACAGTGCAATCTCAGTGCTGGGGCACAGACACATGATGCATGTATGCGGCACCACATATGTGTTACCCCGTAGGGAAGGGTTTCAATGCAGGGATGGCTTGCTTCAAGGCCCCATTCACACTTCTCGCGCGTGCGTTTATTACCGCGTCAGTCCATTCATGTCAATGGGCTGCCACACGCACGGCAAAGAAGCTCAAGCAGCATTTTCAGCTGCTTGCTTTCAGAGTTTGTTGACCTCACGCTTGACGCGCATTTTACCGGTCAAGTTTAGCGTGCCATTAACAAGTAATGGCACCGCAAGTGCTTTGCACGTTTTTGACGAGTTGCATGAACATGCGCCAATGCGTGCACATGACTCTTTTCCTGCAACACAAAAGCGTGATCGGGGACATTAGCTCTTTTACAGCTTGATAAGATTATGTAAATAGTGTCATGTTCATAGTCTGGGCTCAGCTGCACTTTAGCCACTTCGCTGTCGGAGACATTTTTTTTTTTTTGCACACACATACAAAATGCGCCTAAAGCCGCAAAAACCCAATAAAATAAAACGACGGCAGCGGAACTTGTTTCTGTTGTACAATATCTGCGCACCTGCTTAACAAACCTATCATTTCAGCAAACAACGCACTCAAACTAAGTCTAGCGCAAATACAACACAAACCCGAGATTTTCATGTAAGGTTATAAAAGACCATCGAGAATACAGATGCCAAATATGTTAAAATCTGCGTGTGCCCCGTGACGTGGCGCAAATCTGCGATATCCAAAAGGCGACGCGTTAAAAGACTCCACAGGTCATCAACTCAAAGTTACCCAGATATGATAGACTTACTGTCACTCCTGTCCATCTGGCGTGCACGGTGATACCCAACATGTGCTGCACAACTGCCATTTATGTACACATGTGCGGTGTGCGTGTGTGCTTGTGTGTGCGTGTGCAGGGGGGCTTGAACTTTAATAGTTTTCCTTTTTGCACTTAACGTTATTGCCATCGCAAGGGAGCTTATGTGATAGCGCTTTGTGAGTGACAGGTGCTCTTTATGGAGACATCAGGGGTCTTTTGGACCCTTTCACTCAGGCAAATCTGATTGGTAGACACAGCATCCTCGAAGCACTACTTCACCTGGCTCTCCTAGCCACAAACTCACAGCTCTGAAATTGGAAGTGCTCAAAGCTGAGCACTTCCAGGTTCCTCCATTGCAGAGTTCCTCCATTGCTTGCCACTAACCTTCTGAGGCATTTTGTTTTGGTACGGGGCTCCCAGGAACGTCTATTGGTGCTCCCAGGAACATCTATTGGGGCTCTCAGGAACGTCTAACGTCAATTGGCCACGTCTATCTTCAAAATTGATCCTGCCATTAGTGTCCTTGTTCAGTCAACTGTTGTAGAGTGACAACGCTCTGTCCGCGTCTCCCAGTTGTGCTCCTGTGTGTCACCAGGCATGAGCTTCAACTTCAGGTCGACCATAAATTCGAACTGTATACAAGCCATTCACAGTTCACTGAATTGGGCAAACAATTTGGCCAGTTTGCCCCCGCCCCCAAACCCCACTGACCTTCTCTCTGTATCCTAGCAGC